AAGATTGACCGAAACCTTCAGATAACCCGTCCTGCAGCCCAACCGCTAGATGGTCATCGTCTTCACTCTCTGCTTTCCCCATCCAAAGGATCAAACCGTCCCAAGCTGAAGTAGAAAAATTCAGTGACACCTCGGTGTACATTAGATTCCTAGAGTTGTACTTCGGATCCTTGTATTTCAAATAAGAGTTTCCAGTAAACCTTAAAGTCCTCATCGTAACTTCTTGGTCACAATAAGTCCCAATCCATCCTAAAGAACACATACATGAATATGAAGCAGACGTTGTGTTATGGACACAGACAGAATCATGTTGACAAAGATTGTTGACACAGTGAACTGACTGCTGGCACCGTGAACCGGTCCACAACGAGGGGCAAATACACCTGAATGAAGAAAGACCTGCTGGATGGCAGTAGCCACCGTTCAAGCAAACCTTATATCCACACGCTGTCCCGTCCCAGTCGCCAACATTGGCTCCGTCCAGTGCGCCTGTCTCTGTAAGCTCAAGGTCCTACCCGTTGACTATGACCTCTCGAATGCCGCCGGTGAATCCCACCAGGTCCTTCTCTGTGGCATCCAGGGACACTGTTCAGGGAAGACACACCACCAATGAAAATATATGTGGTGACATCCAGAGTGGTCGAGCCCTCCGAAGAGTTCCTGGTCACGGCTTCATCGTCTAGAATCAGGAAGCCACGGTTGCCTTTTCTACCAGCCTTCACTGTGTGCCACCTTATGCCAGTCACATCTACACTTTTCGGAGACTGTAATACAATAGTTTCATTTCCCAGATTATAGCGGAGCTGCACAAATCCAGCTGATAGGGATATGCTGAGGAAATCACCTTGGGTGGGACGAGAATAAACGAAAATTAACAGAATTTTGTTCACAATATTACAAACTATATTGTAATCTTTATTGTTTTTATTCACATTTTGTTATTAAACACATCTTAAATATGAATATGTATTGAGCATACACTTAAATGGTTTAATTTTGCATAATGTAACAGAATTCAAGATGCTGTCTTACCAGCCGACTGCTCAAGTAGCGTGCGGTGTAGAACAGGATGCCCTCCGGTGAAAGAGTTTGAAACTGCAGTTGCAGATGAGTTCTGTGCCTTATGTTGATGGGAGGAAATGACACCCAAGAGGATTGATTCCCACTGAAGAAAGGATCAGTGATAGATACAGCTGGAAAAGAAATGGAGAACCCTGAAAGTGTTGAAATTTAATAAGCTTATTTAAGCAACTTCTTGACTTTCATAGTCAACATGGAGCAGTGGAGTGTTTTTTTTTTTAATATTATATATTAATAATTCTAATTATATTATATCTACTAACTGGACAGTATTTTGTTCTACCCACAGTTACTATATACCTGAAAAGAAACAAAAATATAGCTGTTAATAATAATAATAATTAAAAAAAGTTATTAATCTCCGGTCTTTAGAAAGCAGAATGAGACCATTTGGAAATTTTAACCTATCATTTTATTATCTTTATTTTCTTTTTTACACTTTGTTCGTCCGAACCCTACTGAGGACCCCCAGCGGTTCCCTGGAGGTGGGATTATGTGTGTGTGTGTGTGTGTGTGTGTGTCTGTGTGTTTTTAATTACATACTATACACAATATTGTTCAAAAGTTTGGAGTCAATGAGATTTTATTATTCACCAAACAATCCTACAAAAAACATTATTAACATTAGTCAGTTTTGCCATTACATTACAAAATAAATGACATTTTAAAACATTAAAGTAAAAAAAAGTTATTTTAATGTGTCACTATTTTACTGTATTTTTGATTATTGCATCCTTCGTCTTCAGAAACATTTTTATACACATTTATAAAAACAAATTGTAAATGCATGTAAATATATTATATTAATTCTAATTATATTATATATTTATAATATACATGGGATTGATTGTGGTCTAACCTTGCTGGCAGAAGAGTCCAGCAGAGCCTAGGGGGCACTGGCATGTGTATCCATCAGGAAGGGGCACACAGGTGGCGCCGCGAGCGCAGGAGGGCGGTGGGATGTGCTCAGCCTCACAGAACGACACTTTCTCTGAGCAAAGAGCACCTTTCCATCCAAACACACACTGACAGCTGGAGGGGAAGGCCAAATACAAATGATTAATAATGTTTGTCAGTCATTCCCGCGCACAAACAGGTGCTCGTTCTGAAGTGGAAGTCTTACTGCACAGAGGATCCAGAGTCCACACAGGTGCCTCCGTTCCGGCAGATGACCAAGCTGCACGGATTAACACCACACTGCCCCACATTACGTCCTGACGCTGGCCTGCCCCCTGGCCCTCCTGGAGGATGAAACTTCTCATCTCGTCTCGTCCGGAACAGCAGATCGAAAATGCAGCCTTTAAAGTCAAAGATAGAGAGAAAATCCTGGCATTATTTACTCACCCATTGAATTGGCTCTATCTTTCTCTCTCCTCTCCACCTGTAGCTGGTGTGTGGTGAGCGCACTGGCGCTGTTGTCCTGTGGCTGCCGTCGCATCATCCAGGTGGATGCTGCACACTGGTGGTGGTTGAGGAGAGACCCCCCCCATATGATTGTAAAGTGCTTTGGGTGTACAGCAATACACAATAAAGCGCTATATAAATGCCTCATTCATTCATTCACTCATATGTTCATGGTAACCAGGGGCTGTATAGCAAACAAAAAGCAAAAAAACAAAACAAAAAACACTAAAACCACTTTGAAAATAGTCTTTACTTGTGCATTATTCTGATATAAGCCATATGATAGTATTGTGTGAGGAATAGAGTGAAATATACAGCATCACAAGATTTAAAAAAAAATAAATTTCTATTTTTATTCAGCAAGAATGCATTAAATTGATAAAAAATGACAGTAAAGACTTCCATAGTTACAAAAAATTTCTTTCAAATAAACGCTGTTCTTTTGAACTTTTCTTTTGAAAGAATTCAGAAAAAAAATCCATGTTTCCACAAAAATATTAATAACTTTTTTCATCATTGATAATAATATGTTTCTTGAGCACCAAATCAGCATATTAAAATGATTTCTGAAGGAGCATGTGACACTGAAGACTGAAAATTCAACTTATCAATCACAGGAATAAATGTATTTTTTAAATTAAATATAATAAAATGTAAAATTTATTTTAATCATATTACACAACATTACTGCTTTTACTTCTGATCAAATAAATGAAGGAATAAATGACAATTTAAAATATATTAAAATAGAAAATAACAATTGTAATAATGTTTTACTATATTAGTTTTTACTGTACTTTTGCTCAAATAAATGCAGATATTTGATCAAATAAACTTTGAAAGAACAGACTTCCTTCAAAAACATACTGACCCCAAACTAAGCTCTTCTAATCACTGTGGAGGCATCCATTGAACATCCCAGCATGCCCCAGATGCCTTTTTCTATAAGACTAGTAAATGTAACATTCAGAAAGAGGAAACATTTGTGCCATCGCTGAAAGTTCATCTAATAAAAGCATCTAATTCCGGCACATGGCTCTCTACAGAAACAAGAAGAAAAAATAACATGACAAAGTGTGTGATTATTTTTGGAAAAGCCATCAGGGAGAAGGAGAGAGAGAAAATATGTACAAGTCCGTGATGCTGAAAAAGAAAAATCTATTCTGTTCCTCTTTTTCAAATAAACAGAAAAAAAGAATTTATATATCCAGTAAGTGGCAGATACAGATACAGTGTTATGAGTATCAAGCGACTTGCGCTCCATGAGATCAGTTCATATATTCATAGGTGGGTATTAAATTCAGATGATAAT